ATAATAGTAATTATAGGAAAGATTACACAGGACAGTGTGAGAAATGACTTGTATAGTAAGAGAACTCGTATAAGGAGAAATAAAGCCGAGACATTTAGCTAAACAGATTTTTAAAACAAGGTACATTAAGATGATAAAAAGAAGAATGCAAATGGGTTAATATAATGGTAAAAGAAAATTTAATAACTAAGCTTAATTTGTTATAAAAATGATATAGTGTGAGATATTGACAATTTGTTTCTTACTAAAATTTAAATTTTTTATAGATTGCCCTCATATCACTTCAAGAATAGATTTGTGATGGAGTTCTAATTCAATCCATAATTTCTGACAGTGTTTTATCACTGGGTTTTTACTGAAAATAAGACATTATTTGTGACAAAAATAATTTTTCTCCCTTACATAATTCCTTAAACAGTAATTTAGCCTTCGCTGAAATATAACTATTGTATAACAGATATGTGTAGAACATATACATCTTAGAAACATTTTACATCCTTTGTAAATAAGCATCTTGTTTCTGTTGTAACACATTTTTTTTACCTCAGGTAGAAATGGGATAATTTGAGAAATCAAAAAGTACTTAAAAGCATAGTCAAATGCTTTAGGTTGAGAAAATGACTTCAATTCCAAGAATAGTCAAGATAAGTACCAGGAGGTTCACTCCATGACTTGAAAGCCAGCCACACCTGCTAGGGGAAAAGGCAGCTCAGACAGAAGAAAACACCAAGTAAAGGGTGTTGGGAGGATCCTCCCAGGATGGGAGATGCATGCTGAAAGTAGACTATAGAACGAACATGATTGCCTCTCAATGCCTCTTTTGCAAACCTCAGCACCCAAAAGGAGAGAGAGAACAAAAGGGAATGCCCTGCCACAGAGGTGGGATGAGATGGGAAGGTGGGAGGGATACTGGGATCATTGGTGGTGGAGAATGGGCACTGGTGGAAGGATGGGTACTCGATCATTGTATAACTGAAACCCAAGCACAAAAACTTGTAAGTCTACAGCTGTACCTCATGGTGTTTCACTAATAAAAAGAAAAAAAAGAATACTAATACTGTATAAGCAATAGTTCTAACATTAGTGAACTTCCAGAAAAGGTGAAAGACTGCACTGCTTGCATAAACCAAATTCTGGTATGGGGGATGGGGGTGGGGGGTGGGAATAAAAATAAATCTTTAATTTCCCATCTAAAAAGAGATGACAATTGTATGGAACAATGGCTTCTGATTTGTCAATCATTGATTAAGTTTCCTGCCCTGATGAAGTGATCCCAAGCCTTATATTAACACCTCTTGTTTTATTCTGTATAATTTTAATTTGTTAATGAATAGATCGTCGATGCTTTGGTAGTTGTATAAATGTAGCTGTATTTTTTTTTCTTTTTTGGGTCACACCCAGTGATGCACAGGGGATACTCCTGGCTCTGCACTCAGGAATTACTCTTGGCGGTGCTCTGGAGACCATATGGGATGCTGGGGATCGAACCCGGGTCAACAGTGTGCAGGGCAAAAGCCCTACCCACAGTGCTATCGCTCTAGCCCCTGTAGCTGTATTTTAATAGGTCACACAATTGTCTAGTTCTGACATGCTCAGTAATATAATCTTAAATCTTGAAAAATTTACATGGAGAAATTGCTTCCATAATCATAGCCATGTATTTGTAAAACAGTTCTAACAAAAATTTTAATTATTTTTTATTAATTAACTTTAACAGGTCTATCTTATAACGTGCCTCCAAACTAGGTGAAAATATACAATCTTTGAGACATATTTGACCAACTAAGTAAGTGATGACAACCAAAGACTCACTGAAAGGCTGCTAGCACTATATTCAGATATGCACTAATTACTGAATTTGTGGAACTCAATTAAAGTGGTATTTTCTCGTAAGAACTAGAAACCTCTTATTTAAGTCAAGAAGTTAGAAATAGAATAGGAAATGTAAAAGAGAAAACACAAAAGTGATAAGGAAGACACAAAATCAAAAGAATATTTGAAATAATAAATAGTGATGGGAAGAACTTACATACTGTTGGTGGAACTATAAATTGTTGCTGCCTCTGTTGAAAACAGTATGGAAGGTGCTTAGCTATACATGGGAATCACATTATATAATACCACTCCTTAGCATTCATCTGAAGATTATAAAAACACTAACTTAAAAGAATATTTGCAGCATTATTCACAATAACCAAAATATGAAATAAACCTAAGTAACCATCATGTCATTTGCAAAATAGAAGGAACTTGATGATAATACTTAAGTACAAAGTACATCTCAATACAAAGTAAACTACCCACTTTCAAAAATTCCTTTGAAAGGAATTGTTAATCTCTAAAATGGGTCTAAAGTAATCAGCAAACCATGTTATAAATAGATTATGATGTCATTCTGGCATTATTGTTGCATTTATTGAACACAGGCAGTAGATCTATCACTATTCTTAAAGGCTCCAGGCTTTTAAGAATAGTGAGTATAAGATTCAATAAGGTACATTTGTTCCCAACAAGAGACTCTTACTATTTTATCCTTTGAAATTGACTTCTTTTGAGCAGTTTAATTCCAGATTAGCATCTTTATCCAATAAAAAGATGTTTTTGTTTACATTGAGTATCTATTAAAATTTCAATGGTATTTTTCACATACTGCAATGTACACAACTATCTAATCATTGCCTTGAGTACCTTGATTGTTGAGTTAATATAATGCGATATGTCAATTTAATTCATTTTTTAAATGAAAGCCTTGTAATGATTTTGGAATCTTATAATCTAGAGCTGGAGTTGTGAAAGTATTAAAAAAATTAATTAGTCATTCTCAAGACCAGACAATTAAGACAGTGGGTAGGGCGCTGGCATTGAATGCAGCCAATTCAGGTTCAATACCCCCAAGCCCACCAGGAGTGGTCCCTTAGCACCACCTGATGTGGCCCAAAAATTAAATAAATAACAAAATAAAATCACAAACTCATCCTAGATAAAGAATTAGAACCTGATGATCACTATTTTTCTCAATTCTAATTAAGATTGCTGATCAACAACTTGACAGCAAAACCATTAGAAAATGTTATGAATTCTATTCAAATACTGATCAGGCATATAATGTCTACACTTCTATTTTCTTTTCTAAAGATTTACATTTGTTATTCTTCCAACTTATCTTTTATAGTCTCACAGTTGCAGCTAAATCTATGATCTACTTTGAACTATTTGTTGTAAAATGATGGAAGGTTTGTGACTATTTGCAGTGCTCAATGCCATATGCAGTGTTTAGTATCACCCTGGGGTCAGCCATCATTTGTTGTAGACAATCTTTTCTCCATTTAATTACCTTTGCAAATCTGACAAAGTTTAATAAATGATCTTAATATAGGATGTTCAAAAGAAGAGAAGAAAAGAAAATTAAGTGGGTTGATCCAGGGAACAGAAGACCTATTTTGTCATGATTCTTATTTTTATCTACTGAGAAGACCCAAACTAATTGTTGTTAATGATTTTCTTGAATAATTGTTCATTAATTCCTATTTTCAAGTATGAAATCCCTACATTTATCTTTTAGCTTGTTTTATCAGCATCATGATAGAACAAATGGGGCCGAATTATTGCTAGAAGAATCAAGGAATTAAAGGGTTATGGCTGAAGTCCTATGTTTCAGTTGTCAGAGTTCTTGTATTCTTGTCTTCTCCCTGTTTTAATTAAATTACAAGCAAAGTCATTTCTTCTGAGGGGATATCTGACTTTTCATTACCACAAAGGGAGAAGAAGACCTTTATCAAAGAATGGAGGAGATTAGGTCTTGACCTATTTCTCTTTCTCATTAATAACTAGAGGAACAAAATACATTGGTTTATTTTCTGAAATGAATACTATTATCTGAAAATGTTTAATAGCTTTAGTAAAAGTATATTTTTGAACAATTTTGAGCAAGTCTTTAGGTATGTATGTAGAAATATTTTATTCAAGGATTTTAAGTGTGTTGTTCATATGTGAATATGATTATTATTGCAATTGCTTAATGAGAGAAAACCAAGGAATGTAAAAATTACAACTAGCTAAATAGAATGAATCCTCATTAATGACCCAAGAATTGACACAAAACATCATGACATAAATATCTGGACTAAAGTTTTACATAACTTGGGGATGGAATGATAATACAGCACGTAGGGTGTTTGCCTTGCAGGTGGCCTACTCAGGTTCAATTCCCATATGGTCCCCTGAGTACCACCAGGAGTAATTCTTGAGTACAGAGCCTGGAATAACCTCTGTGCATCACCAGATGTGACCCAAGAAAGCAAAATAAATAAATAATGTTTTACATAACTTATCAAATGTTGAAAAGCAACATCTATAAAGCAATGGCACATAAATGATTTGCATAAACTCTAAAGCAGTACCTAAAAACATTATAACAAATCTAGTTCTAATCCATTACTAATTTCATTTATCAAGCCTAAGACTGCCATATTTCTAGTGATAGACCAACCCCCTAAAAACCCACCCTAAAATATCCTGTCATTATTATGTTGAAAAGTTGCTGCACTCTAAAAAGGATGAAATCCTTCAGAACTCAGTGTACTTTTTTAAGTTAAGAACTTTATCATCTAGAATTAACTAGGACCTAACAACGTCTGAGATGTGAAGAAATTGGCACGTCTGCAATTTTTATCATTTCATTTCACTAATGAGAAGATTTTACAGCATGCAAAAGGTACCTTAAAACCAAATTCTCCAAAAAAGCACATTCTCAGAGGGTAGCACTGTCTTGCCACAGTAAGAGGCAGTACTAGAGGTGCTGACAGGAATTAAAAAATACCCACTAATATATATGTATACATATATATATCAGGTTTCTCTTTAGCCTGAGAGCAAAGACATCTGATTGAAATATGAGTATTTCTTAGAAGTATATGTGGAATTCCCAGAAATTTACTGACTGCTCATATTTTTAAAGTGTGAAAGGTTAATTTTGTGGATTTGGGTATTTTTTTTTGCAGGACCCACCGACCTCAGCATGAAGAGGCAGTTGGCCAGTAGCTCAGGATCCTCCAGCAGTTCAAGCTCCAGACCCCAGCTGAGTCCAACCGAAATCAATGCTGTGAGACAGCTCGTTGCAGGATATCGGGAATCAGCTGCATTTTTATTGCGCTCTGCAGATGAACTGGAAAATCTTATCTTACAACAGAACTGAGTCAAATGATGACCATATTCACTGAGGTCTAAATTTGCAGTTTCCACTAATGACATTTTGATTCCCCAGCAGAGCTGCTTCTGGTCTTACTGCACAGTCTTTTAAGAGAAATATTCCATTATGCCACATTGTCCTTGATCCATAAAGTGATGTGTTAAGGTGCTTCAAAGGAACTCTGCCCTCTGAAGTAATTGAGGTACTTTAATCTGTCCAGCCTACTGCTTTTTGTTTTAGTGTGTCAGCATAAATATTTGGGGCAACAACAACAACAACAAAGGCTATCTATTTCAGATTCAAGGATAAAACAGAAGAAGCTGTGGTATAAAAAGATAACTCAAGGTCCAACTGAAATATTAGTGGAATTTGCTACTGACTCATTGACTGAAAGCTACAGTATCTGGCAGAAAAAAAGAACCAAATTTCTTGTTGCTACAGGATATAACAACAATGAAAAGGATCTTGTATTTTAAAAAATGTAATTTTTATAAAAAGAAAACTTGTTTTTCATTCAAATTTGTCATTTTTACTTTGGTAACTTTTTCATAGGCCCTAAGAGAAAACTGTTTTGAGAAACTACTGTAAGTACCTTTTCCACATCCCTTTGCCTTCTCCTCTTTCCAAATTCTTTCTACAAAAAGTAACACTTGATGCTGGAAAAACACTTGCCTACGTTTAAATCGTCACATCAGGAACTACTTCCAAGAGAAGCCTGCATTTCAGACTCATGCTGATAACAAGCATCGCACTCTACACTTCAGCTTTCCTGTAGCTGTTTTAATCACAGAATTTAATATTTCAAAAGACATATCTTTGGGGAAAAAATTACACCTTTGTTACTACTGCTCACTCCGGGTTCCCGCTGCTGTTACAGGCGTCCTTCTAGCAGCAATTGGATGTAGATGACTGAATGTTAAGAGGTTGCAAGTGACAATCTGAAAATTTGCACTCTTATGTGTAGTTTTCTTTTTGTTTTCCTTTCAGAAATAGGTTCCAAAAAGACCATTACCTCTCCTGATATGATTTGTACAATTTACAGTTTTAGGTTAAACAGTTATAAAGAACTCTCTCAGCGGATGCAGCTGCAACTTACAATGAACTTGTTGTTCCCTTTGAGTCCTTACACTTTCCCCTTCTTATTTTATAGTGTTGGATACACATAAATGGATGTGGGGATTTTTGTGCACTGAGGCAAGCCTATTTTTTAAATATTTAGGGAGAAGTACAACGAGTTTATGCTTCTTGTACAAGTTTTCAGTTCGCTTTCATTGGATTACAAATTTTTTGTGCATTCCTGAATTTGCCTTATTTCATGTAAAATTTACGTGTATTCAGTTTTTGATAATGAGTTTAAGGCATCAGTGATATTTTTACCTACTTGTTACATATAGTTTTTCAAGTAATGACTGTGATTGTGACCAAGTAATGTGCACTTTTTCTTGTAACTGTGGACATTGCTATGCTTTTTTCTTCTAGTGTTTCTAGAATTATTGTTCCTTACAGTTACGTAAATAACAAAAAAAAAACCTTTTGTGATACTGTTGGTGAATATAATGTGAAAATCTTATTGAAATATAAGTATTTTGGAAATACATAGTTGCACAAACATCTTTTACAGTGAGGATTTAGAGTTTGTTTATTTAAATGAAAATTCAAAAACTGAGGGCTGTTATAATTTCTGTTTTGTTTGGTTTAATAAACAGATTTCTGTGTTAAAACAGTGACTAAATCTCAAACTCTCTGAATGAAATAATACTTAATTTTCTGAAGTTTGTTTCTAAAACATAGTATTATATACCTACTTTTAGCATAAACTTGACAGGCCAACCTGACATTTTAAGATTAGAGCTTCAACATTCATCCCAAATAAAATATTCCAAGAAAAGGTAAAGGCCCTCCCGTTGATCGTCGATTTGCTCGAGCGGGCCCAGTAATGTCTCCATTGGAGACTTTGTTGTTACTGTGTCTGGCATATCGAATACTCTCGGTAGCTTGCCGGGCTCTCTGAGAGGAGCGGAGGAATCGAACTCGGGTCGGCCATGTTGGCTGCTTGTATGGCGAACGCCCTACCCGCTGTGCTATCGCTCCAGCCCAAGAAAGATTAAAACAAATTATCAAAGGAAACATTTTTATTTACTTAGACTGATTTAAGAATGAATTATTGGGCCAGACAATGCAGTGGATAAGGCACTTGCCTTGCACGCAGCAGACCCCAATTCAATGCCCAGTACCAAATAAGGTACCCTGAGTCCTACCATGTCTGATCTCTGAGGCAAGAGTAAACCCTAAAACCCCATAAAAATAATGCATTATTTTGTTCCTTGGTTTTCACATGTGTAACCTGACTCTTAGTCACTTCTAATTTATACATGTTTATAAAGCCTATTATCTGCTTTTAAGTTTCATTTCAGTAGTATCTGAAGACTTACAAAGCTTGCTATTTCACAATATTATTCTCAGTTTTCACATCAGCATAAAAAGTCCTAAACAGTGATAATAGAATAGAAATGGTTGAGTTCTTGCAAGGTATTCTTTTTTCATTTTCATCTTCAGTTCCTAACTCTCATACCTGTCCACCCAGAACTACCTTCCTGAATAATTATTGCTTTTATTTACATTTATCCCAAAGAATGAAGGTACGGAGATGCTGGTCATTTCACTGGGAAAGTTAAGCATCTAAAATGAAATATTATTTTTCTTTCCTTTTTTTGTGTGGCTTGACTTGTATCTGAAAATGCATTGATACTTTTTCACATTCTATCACAGGAGAGAGCACATGCTCTTTATAAAACATTTGGAGAAACTGGGTGTGGATTCATATTTTCATCCAAATGAAGTGCTAAAAGCTATCACATAAACACATAAATCAAATAGAAGTTTCTGTCACAGTTCACAGTTAGCATTCCATACAGTAACAGCTTCTTCTAACATATGTACTACTATACCACATTTTATAAGAAATCAGGACTTCAAATAATCACGCAACATACAGTTGCAGCAGTTACTGAATTTTCTTAAATTGTGTAATCCAAATTGTTATTCAGTAAAAAACACATTCTGATCTACAGAGAGCCACAGCTAATGATTACTTGCAGATGGGAAGGCAGTTTGTTTCCTTCTCATAGTAATCTTGGAGGTCACTGATATTTATAAAGGAGATTCAGGAAGAGGAAATCACTTGTCTCAAAAGAGAGATACAGCAAGAACCATGCTCTGAACCCAACTACACCACCTGCCTTCAACTCTTGACTCTCTCTGCCTGGTGTCCCATGTAACCTTATGAACTGTGACTTGGAACCAGGCTTGCTATTAAGGATTAGCATCTTATTTGTATAAATAAGATATTAAACGTATACTTGACATTAAATGAAAGCCTTCTTTCATCTTGCTTAGAGAGATTTAATTTCCTTTAAGTTATGTCACCTACCATTATAGAGCAATATTAAAACCCATAGCTGATAGAAAGTAAATAAATCAACCATGAGGGGGAGCAATGACCTTTTAACAACAATGAGTGCCAGTAGTGGAAAGAGAAAAGTTCTTATCCAACTTAGTTCTTTCAGGTAAACCAACTAATTTAGCTGATTTTAGTCTTTCACAATGTATGTGCCATTATTCTGCTATTGTAGTTAATCTTGACACATTTAACAAAAATCACTAAAAGATTACTTTTTCTATGTTAAATTATTTTATACTTTCAAGTGTCCAAGGGTTGAAACTGGGTTCGTTGGTTCATAGCAAAAAAACAAAATGAAACAAGCAAACATAAATAACCCCAAGCAGGTAGACAGAAACGTTGCTATCAAAGTATGCTGAAACTTTTGCCCAAAATTCAGTACAGTATGGATTGGATTGGGCACAACCTAACAGAAATTTACCTTAGGATAACTCATTTCTGAATAACTTGAAAGGGGATAAAATTCAGTTTCTCAAGTTTCAAGATCAATCTTGATTACAAAAAAATTGGAAAATACAAGAGAACAGAATGATCCCAATATCCGTAGAGAAACTTGAATAATGTTATTGTGTATATTTTACCTAAAATGGGTAACTTTTTCTATTTGATATGGTATTTCCTCATCTACTTTTCCAACCTACATGAATTTCCAACATGGAATAATTCTACATCATTGCTTATTCTTAATGACAATAGCGTTACAATGAATGTAACTGTTATTTTTCTGTCACTATAAAAAATTACCACAAATGCAATTTTATTTATTCCAGTAAGCTAGACATTCACTAGTCCAAAACCCATGGATCAGATAGGCCATTTTTTTTCTAGAAGCTCTGATCTCTAAGCCTACTCTTAAGCCCTAGCTTCAAATATAACTTTGGACCTTTTTATTAAGCCCCCCCCCCCTCCACATTTAAAGATTCTCATAAGGTCTTTGAACTCTCCTGGATAATATTGCTAATCACTTTATATTAAAGTCAGCTTACAGCTCATCTCCTAACTTACTTGATTTGACGTATAACAAAAATATACTTAAAAGTTCTGATGATGGGGCCATGAAAATCTTTGAAGGGGGCATTATTCTACCAACTATAAAATCTTAATCTCCTTTTATTCTTATATCTTTGTAGCCAGATGCATTTATCCATTTACCTGTAGTGAATATGCCAAGTCAGCATTATGAATATTCATAGTCTATATATTATGAATAAGTGTCAGCTATTTCACCTCCATTTATTCTTCAAAGAATATGGTCTTAGTATGACCTTTTGTCTCATATTCAATGTAATAAATATGGTAAAATTGTAACAATCTTTCCAGGAAAATTTCAAGGCTGGTTTGTCCATAACAATCAATTGAATTTGGGATAAACTTTTGCCTCTGTTGGGTTCTCAGTTTTTTAATAGTACCATATATTTGCATCATAAAAGATTTCTTTCATCCTGTTTTTTTGGGGGGGAGATACTTTTTTCTTTCAAAGTCTATTGTGATATGAAGAGAAAATGAAGGAACTCAGGACCAATTTAATCCTAAGTACACAACAAGAGTGGCCTCCATGCCTCTATGCTAGTTTGCAGAGGCTATTTTCCCTTGTCTTCCTGCCAGCCTTAAGCCTCATAGATATTTTAATTTTCATTTGAGTTAAATTTTCATTTGAGTTAAATTTCATTGAGTTAATTATTTTTCTTACTATATGCCAGGCATTGTGCTCTGATACTAAAAAAAACTTCCCCATCAAGAAGTCCCACTTAATAGACAAGAGGGCCAGAGGTGCTCCGATGGCTGTCGTAACAGGAAGCTAAATGTACATGTAATGATAAAATTATAGAAGAGAGAGATCACTAGAAGACACACACACTTATACACACACACATACATACACACACACGCCCCTCTGCCATGGCATAGTGGGCTACGGTAGAAGCTGAAGCTAGGGAAATACTTGGCAAAAGGAAGAACAGAACAAAGATGTGTCCAAGAAGCATGTTTTAACAAAAGAGAATACAATGAGAGGAAAGTGTCAAGACAGTGTGGAATGCACATTAATTCCAGCAATTTAATGTTGCTAGAGGGCAGAGTTGGAGAATAAAGAGTCAATGGCATGTTAGTGGAGTCATGAATGGATATTCGGCTTATCTGTTGACTATTTGCAAGTAATTTGGGGTAAAAATGTCAAGTCATTCTAGAACCTCCCTCCGTCTGCTAAAGAAAACGCTAAATAAGTAAAAACAGGGAACTGGAGCAATAGTACACTGAGTAGGGCATTTGACTTGCACAGAGCTTACCTGAGCTTACCCCACCCTATATGATCCCCAAATACTGCCCAATCCCTGAGTGCAGAGTCAGGAGTAAGCCCTAGTAGTAAATACTATCATGCTGGCCCCTTATATGTAACTTCTTCGAAGGAGGCATCAATTACTGGGAAAAGTATTCAGGAAAACAATTCCTTCCCTGACGAGTTTGCAGCTAACAGGACTTGATTATACATATACATATACATATACATATACATATACATATACATATACATATACATATACATGTCCTTTGATAGAGAATGTTTTAAGTGTAAAGTCAATAAAGGCACATTTTATACAAAAATGACAGTTGCAGCAGGGCACCTTATCTTCTTTATTGAGTCCTCTTTTCCTTTCCTTCTTACTTTGTCCCCACTTCCCAACTAACACCACAATGTTCAGTCATAAGCTCCATTAGTCTTTTCACTTCTGAGAAGGAAAAAGGAAGAAAAAGGTAAATGATTGGGTCCTATTGCTTCTGTCAAAAGCAAATATTCAAAGGGTCCACCACCTTACACTAGGGGATTTGGTAACCTTTGTCTTTCTCATCACCTAGTATGCAGCCCAGCTTAAGTGGAACAAGTTTCTGGAATTGGATTAGTAATGGTATTGCAGAAGAAAACATCACATTATGGCACCCTCAAATGACACTTACCAGAATCCTCATTTTGACTATCTGGCAAAATCAAAACATCAAATTCATATACAAATTTTGAAGTTTTGGATCAAAAAGAAGAGGTCTGAGTTTCGGGTAAGGAAAAGAGATGTTCAGGGAAACTTATTACATGAACAACTTATTACATATATTAGGATAAATACAAGTTAAATATGATAGAGAAATTGTGACATGTACACAATAGAATACTCAGTTATGAGAAAAGATGAAATCTTGTATTTTATTGCAACTTGGATGAAACTGAAAAGTATGCTAAATGAAGTGAGTTAGAAAGAAAAAGACAAATAC